CCACCTTCTGGCTCTTCCTTTTATAGATTTTCTTTTTTCTGCAGATGGTTTCAGACACCGGTTTTAATATTGCACAGGCAATCTACAGAGTGAATGGGAGTGAATGGTTGTATTACGGAAGTAAAGGCCCTATTAATATTTAAAGGTCGTATACGTTTTGAACAACCACAAAAATCAATGCAAAACTGAAGAAGTAAATAGTCTCCTGATCAAACATACTGCATTTTCTTTTTCTTTGCAACCAATCCTCATTACCTCCGACTTTGAGGTGAAGATAATAAGTGCATTGAAAAGGCCATGAGTATACTGGTCGGGGTTTTCTCCAGCTTTTGATCAAATTCCAGATATGATGTTCACATACAATATGAAATACTGATGTTTCATTCTATAATTAAATGTATGCATGCATATGCATCGGTGCATCCCTAAATTATGCATGTTATGCTTCCAGAGAGCCAAACTATCTTGTACTCACTTTTAATAGTCTTTCTTAATGTATCTCCTTGCTTTCTGATGGTCTTTTGTTGTTTTTGTCAGTTTTTTGGCTGCTTTCACTTATTGTCAGCAGCATTTACAACATATTGTGCGGTTTGGTTGGAAATCAAATGAAAAGTGGACATGCAGATCACAAGTCTGAAAAAACCTCCGTACAGAAAAGAAACTGTATCTCAAATGTATGTAAGGAATAGGCAAAACAAATAAAAAATCCAGCAATAGCGCTTTTAAAGGGGTCATAACGAATGAATGCAAAACTGAGTTTACATTATCATAAATGAATAACGATTGTTTAGTGGGTGAAATGGACGTACAGAGAAGTTCAAACTCCATCGACTCCTAATTTCTCTGCAAATCTTACAATTCTAAACTTCCACCATAAAACGGGCGAATCCAAACGAATCCCCAAGTTGACGTAAACTCAGGGATGTTGCCTTATTTGGTTCTGGCCTGTACTTTTGTCGCATCCCGAAATTTACATGCAGACCGGCCCACTGGGGGGGTGAAGTGTCGACTGCTGGGCCGCTGACAGGACCGGACCGGTGGAGGGTGGGGGGAAGCATAGGGCTGCCTGTGTCCAGGCTACTGTCACCTGGTCGGGTTCGGTCGCTCCGTCCCCCGCTGGCTCCCTGCCGCCGTCCACCGGGGTTCCCAAACCGGCCCCAGGGCTGACGGCTCGCTTCGAATGCCCGGTTTGTTTCGACTAGGAGCTGCACTGTAGTCGACCAGAATCCTGGATGATTTTGAAATTCCCCCCGGACATTTTTTTTAGCTATGAAAAGTAGGACATGTCCAGGAAAAAGAGGAAGTCTGGTCACCCTACCATATTAACAATTCAGTGAGTGAGTGCTTGTTGCTATGATGCGTCTTTGCACAGCAGCTTCACTCGTTGTAAACCAACCAATCAGTGCACAGCTCATCTAGATATTCATGATCATACCATAAAAGGAAGAAACCTGTCATTTCATTCTAGGGCTTATAACTAGGCTTGCATTAGGGCTCATAGAACAGCAAATATGCCATTTTCAGCCCAATCAATGTTACACACCCTATTCAGAGACACCAAATACCCTATAGAATCATCCTATGACCCCTATAACATAAAATAATTTTTTATGTTATAGGAATTGGAGGAATTGGAGAAGATTTTGTCTTTGGGACGAGCTGCTGCCTAAATAGCAACTTGAGTGTTCTTTTTCTTTTTGTTTTGTGTTTTGCTAATCTGTTTGGGGATAGACTGAAATCAGGTTCATGACTTCAATGTGTGAAAAGCAGCCAAAGCTGTGAAAGGCCTTCAGAATGCCTGCACAGCTCTCAGGCCTGCAGTGCATGTTTCTCTTATTAGGTTTAAGTTCTCATCATTATTACCGATATGCTCACTTACACGAAGGAATCAGAAGCCAGTTTACTCAAAGCACACAAAAAATTTTGCAGTGTTAAAGTAAAACTGTATCTAACTAACCTGAATGCATTTTTTCCCACTCTGAATTAGTGTTAAATTAACTCTCTACATAGTGTTTATCTTACGTCAGTTGTTGTAATAACTCTAAAAGAGTCAATGTACTTTGACACTACATATTTAACTCTGTGGTGTCCTTTATCCTGGAGCTGGAATCAATCCTTATCTAGATTTTTGAATCTAAGGCCTTGAATTATGCAACACAGAAGGTTACCAATTATTAAAATATCTGCAGGTATATTTATGTTACCCCATTGGCTTCATTGATCCAAAACCTTCAACTGAGGATGTTCAGACATGCCTGGATAACCAGGACCTTCATGTTCCATTTAAGCATATCTGAAATGTGACCAACATCTGAACTATGATGCACAGGAAGGTTCATTTATTAGAAGCAGAATTACTTTGAATAATCTAACACTGCACCATAAGCAATCAATATATTAGCTTCCAGGTTATGAGATGTTAGGTTTGCTAGGAGGTGCTGGATTGAATGAAACATGGAGTTTTATAATAAAACATCACAGCTTCGTTTGTGCATTTATTGGTACAGATCAGCAAAAGCCTTAAAAATCATTTAATCTTTCGTTGCAATAGAATAATCCCACAGTGTAGAGTTGAGAAAAATCTAATTTTTAATTTAAGTGCGTTTATTCACTAAATAAAAGATTTCTTTAACCTTAACCTTTGCTGTTGATAATTTGTACAACAATCGTTTAGGATGTCCAACACATACTCTGTTGCTTTGACATCTCATGATTGGAGAATCTAGGGACAGGGATCCACTATTAATTATCTGTGCACAAAATGTCACAAGATTGCTCAGATTAATAGATGATCTTTTTCGCTTTCTTCTTCTATTGAAGAAAGCTGATTTGTGTTAATGGCTGAATTGGTCATACAATAAAGTCATTATCCTGCTAATAGACCCAGTGATGGCCATCAAATTCATTTTATAAGAGCTCAATCAACTCCTCATTTACATTTGTACAATTAGGACACAAAAGGCATTTTTGGAATACCTCGTTAACAGCCGACATAAGAATCTTATTGTAACTTGATAAAACTTTTTTTCCCTTCGTGTACATCATTATTGTGTGAGAGCAAACTAATATAGGGTCCTCTTCCAAACTTGCTTTTCACAGTTCAGTTTTTATTTCTAATTAGGGATATTGCTAAACATGGATGAGTAGCTTGTTTTTCTCCCCAACAAGTTTCTAAATATTGAAAACAGATATACAATAAGCTCATGGTCTCTTATTTTATTTAATTTGAAGACTTATTAAGAAAGATGTGCCTCGGGTCATGTCATGTTTTTCCTCAGGGAAAAATGAAGTAATTTATGATTAATTACTGGTTCTAAATATCTTAAAGCATAGAGTACAGAAAACCCTTTTACTTAATTATATTTCTAAACAGAAATGTTTTGTGACTATAATCGTTATATTCACAATTCCATTAAAAATTGATATTTATGAATAACAGATTTCTGACCCGCTGAACAATTACGATGAGCAGTGCTTTTATAGTTCATAGATTTTTAGTATAATCTTATAGCATGTTACCATTTTCCCATTTAAAGGAAGCAGATGGATTTTCACATTGAACATTGTAGGAAGTCTACAGTATTTATGTTATAAGTGGTTAAATCTCTTGATCAGTTAATCACTGGAGACAAATAAGAATGTATTTTATCATCTTTTTGAGAATAAAATATGCTCTCCTGATATTCATGAGACTTTAGATAATTACCGACTGTTTTCTAACTGAAAATCTAAAATAAGAGTACTGATTTGTTAAAATCATCTTTGTTAATTCCGACTGCATGAACTTTATTGGGATATAATCTCATCATGTATAAGACTAAAAATAGAAATGCATAGATTAGCAAAAGTCCAAACTGTATTTTTTTTATGGTTTTTTTCTATCATTGACCTATTGTTACTCATTTTGGCCAAATCCAATTTCCCTTTAACAGCTCTGACACAAGGTAATATAAGAACAGAATTAAAATACTTCCTCATTACTAGTTACTAGTATTTTGTTAGTACCTAAAGTCATAACCTGTGTTAAATAAACTTTACTATCGATTTGTTGTTTAAAACAGGGTTTAGCATAACACCATGACAATTAGAATGGTGAGGATGCCTGACATTGCTATAGTATTATTAGTATTTCTATATTTATACATTTAGGGAATATAGATCAATTCTGTAATGAGTTAAAACCTGAGGAGAAACCAACTTTGCTGTAACATGATGAACCTTTCTGTCATGTTCATGATGGAGTTCAAATTAAAGATGCTCTAACAATAATCTCCATTTCATTTTAGTTATTTAATTCTAAAAATGCCACCTGGTAGTGCTTTGTATGATGTCTTCACCTATTGGAAAAATCAATATATATTTGAGCTTCTGATCATCTGATCACCAGTTAAGGACTATAAAGCTAAAAATAGTCTGAATCAGGTCTCCAGCTGTTTCCATAGTGGAATGAAGTTTGGTGAGAAACAAATCATTTGCAGCTAAAATCACGATCCTAATCTAATATCCGAAGAATCCAGCTGCCCTTCAAGTTATAGTTATTTTTAGGATCTTCTCTTTGGACATAATCCCTATATTTCTGAGATTAAAAGTCACCATTTTGATGAATTGACTGTGAAACCTCACTCTGGCTGTGTGTGTGGGACTGATTGTGTGTTATTGATCAAATGTCAGTCATTTGTCACAGGTGTATGGAGTCTGCCTGCCACTGTGTCCCATCCTAACGCATGGTTACCTGTTTTGTCACCCCCTTACAGCTCTGGACACCGCCCCCTCTCACGTGCTACCCCCTCCCCTAAAAATGTGTCTCTCCCTCCTCCTTCTCTCCCTTCTCTAAATGTGGTTTTTCTCCTCTCTTCACACAGCTCCCCCCGTCCAGTTTAACTCCATCTCTCATCTTCTCACCTCTCTCACGTCCTCTCCTGCTGCCTTCCTTTCCTCCTGAAGTGACCTCTCCTCCCCTTGTTTCCTCCCCCGACCCCCTCTACCCCCTCCGCCCACAGGGCCCCGCGCCTCCTGCAGACCCCTCCAAGGTGAAGGCAGCTGCTTCGGAAAAGAAGAAGCTAGAGTCTCGCAAGGATAAGAAATAGGATACGGGGAGGGGCTGGGGCGGGCTGCTCCAGCCCATTCGCCAGGTAATGGCGGCGAAGGTCCAACCCAAACAAAAGCAGCAGCAGCACACCATCATTAAAGAAACAGAGAGGGTGGAGGGAGGTGGGGAAGAGGGCTCAGGTCGGGTCCTTATGACCATTGAGCTAGAGATGACCCGGCAAAATGGGGAGGAAGGTTCCAGCAGCGAAGGAGGGACTGGAAGGTCTGAGCCGCCCGGCCTCCTCTCCCGCCTCTCCAAACGACTCACCGAATAACAAGCCTCCGCATGGGGGTGAAGCCACAAACCTGCTTTACATGCGGCACTGCCGGAGTCCCTGAATAAATCTGTTAAATCATATCTGCTCTTGTCACAGAATGTATTCTCAACTACTGTACGAGGGCCCAGATGTCACGATAATCGCTAACACCAAGCCTGCTCCCTGACTGCTTTTGTTAGGTCATAAGATATGCCATTTGAAGCAAGACCCTGAGACAGCCCGGGCCTGATAACAAAATCTAAAAAGGCTGCTCCCAGGGTTTTTGCCTCTCTGGTTCCTTTCATTGTGATCCAATCCACTGAAAAAGCTTTTTCTCAAAGTACGTCCGATACGCATCACGAATCCCTGGCTGCGGGGACAAGCCAATTTGCTTCTTTTTTTTTCTTTTCTTTCCAGAAGCGATGTGTCAAACTCCAGCTTTCTTTCCTCACACTGATTTCTGATCCTCCCCACTTTCCCATCCCATTTCTACCTCCTATTCCTATAAATTTCTGTACTTTCTTGTTAAGTCAAATTACAGAAATGATTGAAATGCTAACTGCTCTGTCATGTTCTTTCTCTTCCTCCCTCTCTTTTTCCTGCTCCTGTAGATAAAGGTCTGACTTCTCCATGACTGCCTCCACTCCTCTAGTCTGCTCCCTCTCTTTCTGCCCAGCCTGATGCAACCCCCGTTATTCCCCATTATCTGTTCTCTCTCAAGACAGCACTGGCTGTAAGAATAGTCCCTCTATATCACTGTGCAACAGTGTCAAATAATTTTTACAATGCCTCACTGGAGAGAGCCTTTGCGATCACTGGGCTAACTGTAAAAGTCTTTAAGGCCTTACTATGCACATAATCCAACAGACCGCCCCTCGTGTGTTTAGAATATTTCTTCTTCAGTTTAAAGTTTATGACTCAATCACGTCCACCGAGCAGAGATGAAGGCGCACGCTGGACTTCATGTAGAGGAAAAACGGAGAAGTGATAGCGAGAGAGAAATATGTTTCCCGCTCTCAGCCAGCGAAGATAGAGGTTCAAGCCCCGGAGCTCGGAGGTGATTCAATCCCCTCACATTTGAGCTAATGGAGGTTGTCGCTGTGTCCCTGCCCAGGCTGTAAGGGGGGCTATTTCTGGCCCCTATAAGAGAGCACAGGCTTACAGTAACAGCTGCACATTTTTTCAGCCATCGAGGGGGTAGAGGTGGTGGTGGAGGCATTTTTTTTCTTTCTTCCTGTTTGTGCCTGAGAGAAGCGTCCAGTGACCGACGAACTGGAATGACGTCATGGCCTCCAACGGCCGCGGATGCTCTCAGGTGACTGACAAACAGGATTACCAGGAAGAGGTTAGGCTCCCGACTTATTTTAGGTCCAGTTAATCCACTCGCACGTTTCTCCTGGTCGACCTGCAGCTAATTATTTCCGTGTGTGCTGGTAATAGGATATCTCTCACCGCATCAACCCCCTCCCTTCTCTGCCATCTCCGCTTCATCTCTGCCCCCATCTTGGGAATCATCTCCCCAGTTTTGCTGTCTCTGTCCTTAAAGTCTTTGGCTTCCGTTTATCTCTTCCTCTTCCTGATGTCCACTGAGTCTGCACTGCATTATTCCCCCACTGAAAAAGGTCTATACACAATCCAATCTACTCTTTAAGCCTCTCCTTATCTGACTGGCAGGCCTACAGCTCAATGCTTCACTCTCCTCTGTCCTTCCTTCTCTTCATCATCTTTGTTACTCTCTTTTCCAAACTCTGAGGCACACGACTCTTTTCAATCTTCCTCTGACTTTGCCAGTGATTGACAGAAAACGCCCTCAAACTTTGCCCTTCAAACACTGCAGGGGAAGACTTTTCCCTCGCTGGGCCATTTCATCCCATCTAGTTCGATAGCCCCTATTCTGTATTAGATCCTGTAAACATACCATTTCAAACCCATATGTTTAAATAATTGCATATCAGTCTATTTTTATGGGTTATGGAGACAAATAGTCATAAAAACACAAACTTTCATACTGTCTGTAATGTATTTTAATATCTGTAATTCCCAGATTTTGCATTACATCCTATTTCCATTTATTTAGATTCTTATTCGTGTACAGCTGACTTTTAGAAAATGTTACATTTGATTTAAGCAAAATTATCTTAACTGACCTCTTGCTGAAATACATTTTTTTTTATCTTATTTTTATTAAAGTAAGAAAACCTTACAGCAAACATTAGTGTAGCTGAAATACAATAATCTCATGTCAGTGAGAGCGGATAGCCTTAGATTCATCACTCTGTGGCTTGGGAGGAAAGTAGAAAAACCACAGAGGAAGGTGCTTGCTGTGGAAGCAAAGCTTTGCAGGAAGAGACTTATCTGGCGTATTAAGCCCTGCCAAAAAAATCTGTATGTATCACTACAGATAGCCTGCTTTCCCCCTGGAGCTTTTCTTTTAAAGGTGCTCCTTCCCAACCCTGAGCCAAAGATGGATCGTAATCTGCAAGCTTGATATGCAGGCCGGATAGTTCAGCCTTGAACTTTCCTTGAAAATTCATAACAGAAATAGGAGGTGCTTGAATCCACACATTCATCATCTGTTTCACTCGTCGCTGTTTTAGTATCCAGTCAAATGGATTAGTTAGAATGTTTTCTTGTTTTAAAGCAAAGCCACACAGATGCCTGGCATAACATGAACAGTATTTACATGCCGTGTAAAAGGATTTCTGAGCGATTTAAACTGTTTTAGCTATAGTCACTGATTAACATTTTGAGCTTCTTAGATTTATTTCAATGCTTATGATCATTTCCGAATGCTAACATCTTTTTGTCTCTGTATAATATGTTGTAAAGAAAATGTAAGAATAAAAGACATAAGCACAGCTGCTGTGCAGTAAACCCAGCTGAAAATATCTGTTGTTTCTTTCCTTTTTTTCTGTACTGATTTGTACAAAAGGATGCATTTTGCATTAGGACAGGAACAGAGTCGGAACAAAACCCCTGACTAACAACACCTTCATCTGTCTTAAACAGGGTTGACCAAATTGCTAAATCTTTTTTTCTATCTATATGGCTTTTTATCAGTTTTATCTATGTCAGTATTTTGCTGAAGAATTCAACTTTCTCATCTCAAGAAAGATAGGTACAACACCAATGGTTAGTTTTTTGGGAAAAAAAAGTACACTTCTTGCTTTATATTTATTTCTAAAGATGATAACAGCCATTTGATTATTTTTTTACTCAAAAACAGGCTATAGTTTACATATTTAGCCAATTTGTTTCCATAGAAAGAGCAACCATAAAAAGGTATTTTGTCTGCAAATAGAATAAAAACAATTATATAGATTTTTTGGTTTGTGATATAGGAAGTTATTTTTTTCCTTCATTTTAAAAACTAAAATTTAAAATGCCATATTGATTATTAAATAAAAGGATACATATTTAGTAGATATTCATTAAATGTAAGTTATTTTATTAAAAAAGATCACATAATGTTGTTTGGCTCTAAAAGAGTTTTAATACCTGAACTGAATATAAAAGTGGCTCTTTGGATTGTAAAGGTTGCAGAGCACTGATTTAGAGCATCCAATTAATCTAACAGTCTGGTTTTGGATGGTGGGAGGAAGCCGGGGACAGCTCATGCATGCATGGGGAGAAGGTGCAGAAAAACCCCAGGCCAGGTTTGAAAACCCAGGACTTTCTTGCTGTGAGGCAATAAGATGACAAAGTGTATACCTCTACACAGATAAACTGGTGTGGATGGATGGATGGATGGACGGATGGATGGATGGATGGATGGTGGAAAATGTGGTGTATATTTTGGAAATGGAAAGAAAATTCTACACATTTGTCAAACTTCTTCACAGAAACATAGAAATCCCAAAACTCTGGCATGCATTTTGATTGACTTGCCCTGAATCATTACTTCATACTGTAGCTCCACCTTTATCTACAGTTAGCACTGCATCTCCTTTAGGTTAAGTGTTAAAAAGATATTGGCTCATTCTTAATCCAGAATATCTTTACCTTGGATGACACTTGATTTAGAGCATCACTAAAAAACAATGTATAGCAATAAGAAATAATAGAAATAACAAAACGCATTTATACTCTTTGGAATCAGTAAAGTAGAATACAATAGAAGATAATTTGCTCCAGAATCTTAACTTGATTTAGATCTAGACCTTAACAGGACAGCCAACGTATGAACAAGTATTAAGCTAAACCATTCTAATTTAAATCTCCATTTTAGCTCTATGTGTGCTTAGAGTTATTGTCTTGCTGGAAGGTGAACCTCTATCCAGGTCTCAAATCTTTTCTAGGCACTAACGGGGTTTTATTCCAGGGTTGCCCTGGGTTTTACCTCCATCCATCTTCCCATCAACTATGAACAGCTTCCCTGTCTCTGCTGAAAGTGTCTATGAGCAAACCTAAATCAGATACACCAGATTTCTCCAGAGGAATGAGCCAACATTCCAGCAACCTATTTTAAGAAGCTTGTTGAGGGTTACACATATGCTTTTCTTTAGTTATGCTGTTTAAAATGCAATGCAGGAAAAAAAACATAAAAAATTGATCACTTCAGATTATTAGAGAACATTAAATCCCAGCTGTTGTTGAACCTTTACAAAATATTAATATTTTAGTAGATTTGATTAAATAAAATCTGATTAAAAATTAAATTGATTAAAAAACTAACATCTCTATACAGAGATGAGGGATTTTAAATCAGTGGGGATTTCAACCAGACATTGCTTTCTTTATTTTCTTTATTGAGAAATAAAGCTTCTGTTCCCAAGTTGAGAAAAATGGATACCTATTATTGAAGAATATTTCTTAAATGGTCTGTGGACAACAAAAGAGGTCTAAAGACCACGATCAAAAAAACAAAATACCTTTTTCTAAATTCAACAGAAATGTTTATATACTCAAAAGGATAATGCTGATCCCAGCTTTCTTTTTTTCTTTTAGCTTTAAATTATTACCTCACACCTCAGGAGGCTATTTTAAAGCGGTTTAAACCTTTTTTGCAGAAGCCAATTCTTAGCTTAGTTCATTTTACAAAGGTAGGGTTTTAATCCATCCTCACAGACTTGCTGTTACCTCACCATTCAGTAAATGCCTGTTTCATTTTAAGATAAGCCTACTTTTCAGTTGAGTTCATTTTAATTCAGTTTATTTATATTGAGCCAATTTACAAGAGATGTCATGTGTAGCCTCTTCTCCAAAATAAATAAGAGCAATTTATATCCAATTACATAGGATCCAGTTAGGTTCAAATTCAATTTAAATCAATCCATTTCATTCTTGCACAGGGTCTTCATGCGCTTTATTGCTGCCTGTTGCCATTTAGAAATACAGCTGCACACAACAGTGTCTGTTTCTGAAGACCCTTTGGATATATGCTCTATTGAGTCAATAGAACCACTTCACAAATGATGACTGCTGTTTGTAGGAGTGATTGTAGATTGGAGATCTGAAAATATCAGCTGAAGGAAAAACAGAGACCAATAAATAGCAACCGCTGGTTCAGCTTCATAATGATACAAACTATCAGGTCTCATTTGCTCCTCCCACAGAGTGCATCTAAGCTATATTGCTGTTTATTGTGAGCTACGGTTCAGTGGATGCATGTCCACCATTATGTTGTCATCTTTGTCCTCATGTAGCACTAGAATAACAAAATGAAAAAAACATTAAATTACATCATCATGCAAATGAACATATGTAAGATGTTTTATCTGCTACACTATTGCTTTGGTCCCTGGATAATTCAATTTATGTCTAATCTTCTTCACAAAAAGCTCAGGCAAATTGGATTAAAAGGATCTGTGGAAAAAAATATTAACCAATTAATATGCTTTAATAAAAACTAGCCCATTTTAGCTCTAACTGTTAGCTTAAGGTTGTCTTCTTTAAATCCAGGACTTGACTACAAACTTAGGAGATAAATCAACCTTTGGATTAAGGTGTGTGGAAACAGACACATTTTAAAAAGGTGCAGGACACTAAGCCTCTGAACTGGGATTGAGGGTTTTGTTTTTTTCTTTTTTACCCTGCAGGGTGCTTAAATCACCTTTCTAGTTTAATCCACTGAAAAACTTCCAAAAAGCATGATGCTCTCAACAAAAAATTGAAAAAATTTTTTTATGATGTGCGGTGTTCTCTGCTACACATGCTGTTTTTCAGGTAGAGAAAAGGCCTTTAAATGCATGTTGGATGATGTTCTTTCAGCTTCCAGGGGTGATCATCTTATCTACTGGCTGTCCTTTGCCATGTGTTGTGATGTGCTCACCTAATGCCATTCTACGTACTTGTTCCTTTCTAGTTTCTTCTTGCTGCACATGCACACTTCTAGCCTTCAGGTATCCAGTGAACTTCAGTTGTTACTATTCATTGTAGCTCCACTGTTCTCACCAATGTGAACAGACCATAAACAGAGCCTTGCACAAGGTCAATAGGGCCCCAGCACACACATTTCACAGGCAGAATGGCCTTGCACAAGTGCAGTTATTTAAAATGTTACTTATCTACGTACATTAACATAAGAAATCATATAAAATACCTTTAATTTTGGTTCAAATTGATGAGTAATGAGTCATTTTACTAACTTAAAGCTTTAATTTAATTGGTAGACTCCAATCGGCCTGCTGGTCCCCCTGCTGACGTGCAATTTTCAATGACCACACCCCCTCCGATGCAAATGATCTTTTAAGATCCCCTTCATTTCGCTTCTGGCCGAACTTCCCTCCAGCCAAACTTTA